GGTGTTCTGCTGCATGCAGAGGCCAGCAGTCAGTGTCCTGTCATTCTCCTGATTCCCGTGATACACGGTGTCTCACTGAATCCCAACCTAGATACTCCTGTCTCTACCCTGCACAGGGCTGGGCTTGTAGGTACGCAATGCTGGGGCATGTACAGCAACCATTCTTACCTGCTGAGCCTTCCAGCCCCAAGCCTTGTGGGGTTCTAGTTTGTTTCGTTTTGTCTTTGTGACAGGACCTACCTTACTGTGTAGCCCACACTGGCCTCATACTCTAGAACTTTCTCCCCTCATACTCTAGAACTTTCTCCCCTCATCTCCCAAGTGTTGGCGTCATACACGTGCATCCTACACCCCACTCCCCACCACTTCCTCCTCCTCTTCCTCCTCCTCTTCCTCCTCTTCCTTCTCCTCTTCCTTCTCTTCTCCTCCTCCTCTTCTTTTTTTATTTTAAATCAGAGTCTCTCCACATAGCCCTGACTGTCCTGGAGCTCATTATGTAGGGCAGGCTAGCCTCAGAGTCACCGAGCTCCTCCTGCCTCTGCCCCCAGTGTTGGGATTAAAGGCGAGCGCCACCACACATCCAATCTCATTTTTTTAAACTAAGAAGTTTAGGGGTTTTTTTGTTGCTTTTGTTTTTTGAGTCAGAGCCTCACAGTGTGACCCTGGCTGTCCGGGAACATCCTATATGGACTAGGTTGCCCTCAGGCTCACAGAGATCTGCCTGTCTTTGCCTCTCGACTGCTGGGGAGAGTTTGTATTAGGTACCTAACTCTGTCCTTCATTAATACTCAGCTGCACACAAAATATATACAGTATGAACCAGTGTGTATAAAGACAGAGTAATAGGCACTCTCTCTCTGGAGAAGCTCTGGGTAGACAACACACACTGTCAGCTTCCAGGGTGGCTTTACCTTTTTTTCTTTTTTACTTACTTGAAACACATACATGCATACATACATTTATATATACACATATATATTATACATACATACATTCATATATACATACACATATATTACATATACATGCACATTATATACACACACATACGTACATACATACATACATGCATGCATATTTGCATGTGTGTCTGCATGTGTGTGTGCATGCGTGCAGATGGAAGAACTGCTTGAAGCTCTCTCCTTCCTCCCCGTGGGTCCCAGTACAGAGCAGCACCGTCTTACCGTGCGTGCTTTTCTCCTGTCTGTGATTTTAGAGCTGGGTTTAGCTTGATTTGTGTTCCCCCTTCATGATGATGTCGATGAAACACCCTCTGAGATGCTCCCCAACCTCATGACCCTGCCCCCTGTTCTGTTCCAGGAGCGACACAACGCTAAGACAGTCGGGGAGATCAAGCAGTTCGTGTCCCAGCTACCCCACATGCAGGCAGCCAGGGGATCGCTTGCCAACCACACCTCGATTGCAGAGTTGATCAAAGACGTCACCAGTAAGTATCTTTTGCTGTAGTTCTGACCGTGACGGGTCGGCTGTGTTTTTATGTATTTATTTTATTGTGTTGGTGTTAGGGATTAAACTGTGCAGGTGAAGCAGGCGCTGACCACTGAGCCACCTCCAGTTGGTTCCATGTTAGCATCGTGCCTGGGCCCCAGTAGTAGTTAGCCTGTGGATTTCGTTAGGTAGAGGCTGTGGAGCCAGGTTGGCCTTAAACTTGATGTACAGCCAGGTCTGCCATGAATCCTGATCCCTTACTGTACCTCCCCAGGGATGGGGTGACAGGTGTGTGCCATTGTACCTGACTAAGTAAGTATATGAATGTTAACAGGAGCCTGTGCCCAGGGTGAAGACACAGCCCGGTGGTTAAGAGCAGCTGCTGCTCTTGCAGCAGACCCTAGTCCAGCTCCCAGCTCCCCGCACCAGGTAGCTCCCCGCTGCCTCTAACTCCGCTCCAGGGGATCCCACTGACCTCTGAGGGCACCTGCACTCACACGCACATACCCAAACACAGACACACTGAGGTACTCATGAGTAACAACTAAATCTTTAAAAAATGCCACATTTGTGATTAACTCAGTTGATTTATTCATCTTCAGGTAAGCTATCTAGAATAATAGAAAAGCACTCATCCAGGAGATTCCCCGGTGGTGATCGGAAACATTTCATGTTTCTTAGTAATGGTTTTCAATGTGAGGGACTATTTAATTAAAACTATGTGATGTTCTGGGATTTTAGCGGGACTCTAGTTTTGATCCCCTTGAGAACTGTGCAGAGCACTTGTAATACTAGATAGCATTTGGGAGGCTGAGGCAGGAAAACCATAAGTTCAAGGACAGCCTGAGCTACATTGTGAGACTCAAAGAGAGAAATGAACTGGGGAAAAAGCTCTGACAGTAGAGGGCGTACCTCATGGGGCAGCACTTGTCTGCAGTACCAGTGCTGGGGCATTGAAGGCCAGAGTCCAGGGCCAGCCTGAGTGGGCTACATTAAACCTTACCCTAGAAACAGACTAAGCCAGCTGTGGTGGCGCACACCTTTAATCCCCAGTGGTCAGGAGGCAGAGGTGGATCTCTGTGAGTTTGACACCAGCCTACCCTACATAGAGCGTTCAGGCTAGCCAGGGCTACACAGAGAAACCTTGTCTGAGCACCAACCACCCAACACACAAAATACACAAAGCAGACAGAAAGCCAGGAGCCATTCTGGAGAGATGACTCAGGGTTAGAAGTGAGTAAGGACTGCTTTCTCAACACAGTGGCTTTAACTCCATCTCCAGGGGATCTGAAGACCTCTTATGGCTTTCGAGCTCGTGGAGCCAAAAGATAAGAATTGCTATGAAATTCAAGGGCAGCCTGGGCTACACTATGAGATCCTGTCTTTAAAAATGAAATAGAAAAGAACAAAAACTTCCTACAGAATTGTCACAAAGAGCCTCACAAGATGCATATTAACCTGAACGCGAATCCATCTGACTCAGAGATGTAGAACCTGGAGTGCTTGTTCAGAACCAAGTATTAGGAATCTGCTCTGAAATGTAGTTTAGTGTTGGAAAGTTAGGCCTTGTCTCCTGGTGGCCTGAGGCCGTGCTCTGGGGACGTGTGTGCTCCCTGTCACTGAGGTTCCCGACAAGGTCTGACCTCGAAGGAGCCGTCTGCAGTGAACACTCTGTGCTCCGGGGTCTCTACTGTTTGGGGTTTGTGTGCCTCGTTCCTACTCCTGCTCATGTGTGAAGCACAGCGCTCAAGTCAGCTGACTCTGTGGAATTTCTAAGACAAGCATTTGCTGGTTACATTCTAGCTTCTGAAGATTTCTTTGATAAGCTGACAGTGGAGCAGGAGTTCATGTCCGGGCTAGACACTGATAAGGTATGTGGGGCCGCTCTACAGCAGGGCTGACACTCATTGCTGTAAGAGTAGAGCCAGCTAATGTCCCTGTGCTGTTGTCTGTGTTGTTGTTGAGACAGAAACTCACCATGTAGCCCTGGCTGGCCTGGAACTTGATATATAGACCAGGCTGATCTCTTGGTTTCCATGTATGCACTGTGTGTCTGTGTGTGTGTGTGTGTGTGTGTGTGTGTGTGTGTGTGTGTGTGTGTTTGGGTGTAGGATATTGATAAGACAGCACCTACGGGACATAACAAGAAATCTTGGAGCCAGGCGGTGGTGGCACACGCCTTTAATCCCAGCACTTGGGAGGCAGAGGAAGGTGAATTTCTGAGTTCGAGGTCAGCCTGGTCTACAGAGTAAGTTCCAGGACAGTTACACAGAGAAACCCTATCTCAAAAAAACCAAAAAAAAAAAAAAAGAAATCTTGAATTCAGACCCAGTACTCCCTCCAAAATAAATAACAACACATACACACATCCCAGTCACCTGGGTGCGATGGTGTATGCTTATAATCCTAGCACTTGAGAGATAGAAGAAGCATTTAAGGCCAGCTTTGGCTACATAGCAAGTTTGAGTCCAACCTGGGTTACAGGAGACCCTATCTCAAAACACAAAACCCCAGGTGACTTGTTTGTTTGTTTAATCTGTTAGGTAATTTCTTCATAAGTACATCACTATTAAAAATAGTTAATTGGGGCTGGAGAGATGGCTCAGCAGTTAAGAGCACTGACTGTTCTACCGGAGGTCCTGAGTTCAATACCCAGCAACCACATAGTGGCTTACAACTATCTATAATGGGATCGGATGCCCTCTTTTGGTGTGTCTGAAGACAGCTACAGTGTATTCACATACATTCAATAGATAAATCTTTTTTTTTTTAAAGTTAATTGTTCAGTTTGCAGAGGTTTCTGTTTTTAAAAAGCATTCCTATGATTTTATTCGAGGTAAATCGGTGGTATGTTTTAGGTAGGCCACGTCAGATAAACCCCAGACACCTGGCAGCCACTAAGCTGGTTGTCCAAGAGGTAGATGTGTCTGAGCAGGCCATTTGGTTGCCCAGCAATGTCCTCACCACCTTATGGTGGTGGCTGTCGGGTGGGGCATAGTGACAAGGGGAAAAACCTCAGCAGGCAGGAAATTCGAAAGCGAGTCATCCTCCCACTCACCACCTTGGGGGAAATATGAGAGACCGCAAATTATCTGAAGTCCTTCCTCGGACTAGTTAGTCTGTTTGTATTTCATTTCCAGGTCAACAATTACATCGAGGACTGTATTGCCCAAAAGCATCCGCTCATCAAGGTGCTGAGGTTGGTTTGCCTGCAGTCCGTGTGCAACAGTGGGCTTAAGCAGAAGGTGCTGGACTACTACAAACGGGAGATTCTCCAGGTAGAAAACTAAAGATGGTTGATTTGCTGAGAAGGAAAGTATCCTTTTCACAGCTGTTTTTTAGTGTGAACACTGTCTTGTTTTGTTTTTAAAACCTGTTGTTTGGCCAGGAGGTGGTGGTACACTCCTTTAATCTGGGGACTCAGGAGACATAGGCAGGCAGATCTACCCGCCCCTTAGCGTTTTGCATCTCGACAAACAGGCGCACACTGTGTCATGACGTTGCTTAAGCTTCTGAAGTCAGGGCTACAACTGGGTCAGATGATACGGTGAACACAACAGAGAAACGGTGAGAAAACCTGGTTGATTGATGTCTGGCTTCCCACCATCACAGGGATTGATGGATGTCTGGCTTCCCACCATCACAGGCAGTTGACAGTTCAGGGCCAGCCTGGTCTACAGAGCAAGTTCCAGGACAGCCAGGGCTACACAGAGAAGCCAAAAACAAAAAACAAAATTCTGCCATGAACTGGCAGCATGCTGCACACATGTACTTGGGAGGCAGAAGCAGTCGGGTCTCAGTGGTTGCTCAGTGGGACCCTGTCTGAGAGATAATTCTTCTATTTGAGTGTCTCCGGCAGTGCTTGTTTGCTGTTACCAGTCATGCTCATACATGATTAGTTTTTTTTTTTTTTTTTTGGTTTTTCGAGACAGGGTTTCTCTGTGTAGCCCTGGCTGTCCTGGAACTCACTCTGTAGACCAGGCTGGCCTCGAACTCAGAAATCACCTGCCTCTGCCTCCCAAGTGCTGGCATTAAAGGCGTGCGCTATCACCGCCCGGCAATGGTTAGTTTTTATAGATTTTGTTTTCATCTTATTTGAGTTGCACAAAGGACAGAGGTTTCCATAGGATTCCAGGAGTGCAGGAGTGCACAGACAAACCAGCCTCCCTGCCTCAGATGCGCCCAGGCACACGGTGGCTCGCTTCTCTCCGACTCCCGTTTATCTTTGAGCACAGAATGTTTATGTACACAGATTTCAGGTCAGTTTGTGCTTCAAGGTTAGCATGGCTGCATGCAGATGGAGGTCTGTTCTCATTGGCCAGTCAGTCAACATTTCTGTCCGATGGATGTAATAATAGCTACCTCATGCAGTCTAAGGGAAGGGATTCTACAGGGCTCGGCCAATACTTGTCTCTTTTAAAAAACAGAAATATAATTCTAGCCTGGCGGTGGTGGCACATGCCTTTAATCCCAGCACTTGGGAGGCAGAGGCAGGCGGATTTCTGAGTTCGAGGCCAGCCTGGTCTACAGAGTGAGTTCCAGGATGGCCAGGGCTACACAAAGAAACCCTGTCTCGAAAAAAATCAAAAATAAATAAAAAATAAATAAAATAAAAATAAAAAAAAGAAATATAATTCTATGTACAATATTTTGTTATTAACTTTGTTCCTAAATGTGTCTAGAGGTCCTATCAGTGTGCAGGTATGCCTTTGAGAGCTAAGTATGTACTATATATGGATATGATTTCTTTAATGTTCAGGTTGGTTTTAGACACTGACTTTAAAGTAAAAATCTTAAATCAAGCTTGAAACAGAGCAGGTTAATATGGGTGGACGAGAGTCTCAGCGTGAGTGCCCCTCTGGCCTGTGCCCAGTGCTCTCCACACGCAGCGCCTCACCTTGCTAACGAGCCCTGGGGTACAAACCACGTTGATTTTTTTGGAGTGCTCCTCTTTGGAAATGTGCAGGAGCCCCTTTCCTGACCTGACATTACTGTCAAACGCCTTCTCCTTCAGACCTACGGCTATGAGCACATCCTGACGTTGAACAACCTGGAGAAGGCCGGCCTGCTGAAGGCTCAGACAGGGGGCAGGAACAATTACCCAACAATTCGGAAAACATTGCGCCTCTGGATGGACGATGTCAATGAACAGGTAAGATGCGTTCCTGCTCTCGATTCGGCTAGTTCACTGAGACATCGCAGACACCTTAGTCTGCACATCTGACCCACTTCCTAAGTGTCCTCACAGTTTTCATGTGTGCATGTGTGCATGTGCGCATATGTGTACCACTTGCAGGAGTTGGTTCTCTCCTCCCACCATGTCAGTTCTGGGACTTGAACTCAGTCTGCCAAGCTTGGCAGCAAGCCCCCTTTACTCCTTTAGCCTTCTTTCCAGCTCTTTTTTGCTTTCTAAAAATCATCTCTGCTTCTGCAAAGCAGTGCATGTGTGTTGTGTCCATCGGGTCAGCAGCAGGCAGAGTGCTCTCAGCTTGGGTAGTCTAAGACCAATCAAGACGCGAGCAGAGCAGGCTAGGAAGAGGGGATGCAGTGTGGGGCGCTCGCCAACTGTTATCTCTCAGTTCCCACCCTCAGATGGTCACAGCTGAGAAGCCACAGCAGTGGGGCTTGAGGGAGCCAGGCCTATCACCCAACAGGGAACAGAGAGATGATGCAGCCGAGAGTGCTTGCTGGCACGCACATCTCTGTCTTCACACTTATTAGCCAAGGAACCCTTCCCACCTCAGTTAACGTAATCAGTCATGCTCAGAGGCCCACTCTGCAATTAACAACCTTCACACCAGCTGAGGCCTGGAGGACAGATAATACGACTTATTAGAGAAGCTCGTCAGGAACCAGAGAGAACTGTACAGCTGAGGGCTTCTGGCCTCCATGTGTGACACAGACCAGAGGGCAGGGCAAAACAAATCAAACCCCGTGCTGCTCTCCCCTCTCCAGTTGTCCCATGGTTCCTCCCATTGCCCCAGCCCAAATGGAAGTCGTGTGAGTGCTGGCACAGCACCTGCAGGCTCTGGACACAGGTCCCTGGGAGAACTGTGGGGACATCGGGAACATCCAGTACATGTGAACCAGCCAGCTGTGCTCCAAGAAGGGAAGCAGTTGCTGCCACAGCTGCCCTGCTCCTCACAGAGGCCACCCTCATGGCCAGGTTTTAGTCCCTCCAGGAGGCATCCACCCATATGCTGTGTTCTTGGTCTGCAGAGCTTCTCTTGGCTTTACATTCATCACGTGTGTGATACTGCTAAGTGTGTGTGTTACACAGGCAGTGTGTTAGCTCGTCACTGCTCTGATCTGTTTCCTCGCAAACCACCTACTGCCTAGCAAGGGCTCTTAAGAGCCTTCTTGGTGCCCCATTCTGATTCTTTCTGATTGCTACATAATAAGGGGGTTTGTTTGTTTGTTTGTTTATTGGTCCCAGAAATTAAACCCAGGCCTCACACATACCAAACATACATTGTAGCACTGATCTTCCTCTGTGTGTGTGTGCGTGTGTGTGTGTGTGTGTGTGTATGGGGTGGGTTTTACTCACTGTAGACTAGGCTAGCCTCTAACTCCCTATGTAGCAAGTGACCTTGAATTCATGATCCTTTAGTCTCAGTCTCCTAAGTGCATACCTATAATCCCAGCACTCCAGAACCTGAGCTGAGGCAGGAGCATCATACATTTGAGACTAGCCTAAACTCCATAGTGAGATCTTGTCTCAAACAAACAAATGAAGAATGTGAAACCAGGCTAGAGAGAAGGCTCAGTGGCTAAGAGCATTTGCTGTTCTTCCAGTGGATGCAAGTTCTGTTCCCAGCACCCATATCACGTGGTCCACAAGCGCCTGTAAGTCCAGCACCTTCTGGATTCTGCAGGTACTTGCATTCTTACGTGCACACACGTGCAAGCCATACACGTAAATAAAAGTAAACTTAAAAAGTGCAGCTCTGGGTGCCGGGGGAACGAGGTGATTGGAGCAGGACACGGGCAAGGCATTTTGAGTTTCTGTCTCCTATCTTACAACTTCAGTCACCAAAGGACCGCAGGTGGCTCTCAGTCCTGTGCCTTCTTCTTTACCGTTGACAGAACCCCACAGACATATCCTACGTGTACAGTGGTTATGCTCCACTCAGCGTGCGACTCGCTCAGCTCCTTTCCCGGCCGGGCTGGCGGAGCATCGAGGAGGTTCTCCGCATTCTCCCAGGGCCCCACTTTGAAGAAAGGCAGCCACTGCCCACCGGGCTGCAGAAGAAGCGTGAGTTGCATCGTCCATCCCCAGTCAGCATACCACTCACGTGACTTACGATGTGCACTTGCTTTGTAAAAGACAGTCGTAACGTGGAGTTGGTTGCTAATGTGCATTGTGAGCCCGGGGCTGTGCTTGCCCTCGGGAAGGCAGCCTGCTCTCTCTACACTGAGATCTCAGGACTCGGGCCGCCGATGACCTAGCTGCACTAAGATACACTTGACCGTTTTATTCTTTTTGTTTTCTAAATATTTTTATGATTATTATGTGTGTATGTCTGTCTGTGTGCAGGCATGTGCCTCGAGAGGTCAGAGGCGCCTGCTGTAGCTAGAGCTGCAGGCAGTTGTGCGCTGCCTGCCGTGGATGCTGGGGAGTTAAATTCACTCCTCTGCAAGAACATTATACATTCTTAGCCACTGAGCCGTCTCTACAGCCCTTTTATATACTTGTAAATGTAAAAAAAAAAAAAAAAAACGTTTTGAGAGGCAGCAGTATTACATATATTTGAATTCTGAAATGTTTACATTTTAGGCCAGCCAGGAGAAAACCGAGTCACACTGGTATTTTTCCTCGGGGGTGTCACCTTTGCTGAAATAGCCGCCCTGCGCTTTCTCTCCCAGCTGGAAGATGGAGGCACGGAGTATGTCATTGCAACCACTAAACTGATGAATGGAAACAGCTGGATAGAGTCTCTCATGGAAAAGCTTTTCTAGGGATCAGAGGAGACGTGACAGTGACCACACAATGAGCGGCCTCTGTGGACGTGTTGCCTAAAGGACGTAAAGCCCGGAGCAGGAGGATGGAAGCTCTGGGCTCATGTTCCTTCCCGCTCCTCTCTGTGCTCTGAATCCTGAAGAAGGGAAGATCAACCTGGATAAAGAGACAATGTGCTGAGCATGGTGGCTTATACCTATAATCCCTCCATTTAAGAGACAGAGGCAGGAGGATGGCTCCAAGCTTGAGGATAACCTGGGCTACATAGTAAGTTCCAGGCAAAAGCCCTCCCTTCCAAAAATAAAGGAGATCCTGTTTCGGAATTTTAAAGCTTAAAGTCTTCATTAGTTTCTGGAAATGGTTAAGACTGTGGGGATGATAGCCCCAGCAGCCACATGACTGCACAGGCATTAAAAGCAGAGCTGAGGGGATAAATACGAAAATAGAAGCGGAATTCTGACCACTGATCCACGGTGGCATATTCTAGAAGACATCCCATGCCCAGGAGAGTGGTTTTTGTTGAATACAAAGCCTGCCTTGTCCAGTGTGTACTCTTTGCTGCAGACATCTGTGTCTCCAGTCTCGGCTGATGTGATTCCTAAGGCAAGCTTCGTTTCCTTCTGAAAAACTGAGAAGCTTGAAGGGGCTTCTCATCATTTTGAAATGACGTTCCTGCTGTCTGCGTTAGCTGCATTTGTGCAGTTCTCTGCCCAGGAGGGGCTGATAAAGAGTGAGCTGAGTACCAGGCAGCCTCTGCCAGCTAACTGTCCGAAGGCACTTCTAAGTGTGCATGTTGTTACTTCCGAGACTCGCCAGTGTAGGCGCCCCTGCCGGGACCTCTGTTTTCCTCCATGTCCTCCGTGAGCAGGTCTTCTGTTCCTTCAGTATCATGCAGCTCTGTCTCTGTGGTAACTGCCGCAGGCACCTCTCTAGGCCTCTGGCTGTACTCAACTCCACACATCCCTTTTGCCTGAAAATACACAGCTGGGCAGTCCCTAGCCTGGTGACCAAGTGCACTGCGGTCAGTGTCAGTCACACATGGAGAAGTCCCGCCAGTGCTGCAGGGGGTGAAGCACAGCTGGGAGCAGGAGCAGGCATGTTGGTGACAGTGCCCGCCTCCTGCTCATCTCAGCATTGAAGGAGTTAAGAGCGCCAAGTGGGAGACCACGTCGATGGCTTCACCCAAGTCTCCAGAAAAGCTAGCCTATCTCAGCCAGTCCTAGTCCTAGCCCAGGTGCAATTCCTATGGTTAATAGTTTTCTACTCGCCTTTTTCATGTAGAATCAGGAACAATACACTGCTCATTATAAGTGACCAGAATTGTGTATTTAAAAGGAAGACCCAGGAATAAAGGATGGCAAAGATGATGTTTGTTTCTCGTGAGGTTAATTCAGCCTTGATATTCAGTATTTGGAGTGGCAGGCGGGCGTGGGGGGCATTCCCATATGGGAAATCATTCTTGGCTTAGAAAACTCTCTTCAAATTCTTGTTGCTCCAGGGAGACTAGTTTTATCTTTGAGCCCAGCAATGGCTAGTCTCAGCTGCCAGGAACTGCAATCCACTTTGTTCTCAGTGTTTTCCACTCTCGGGATTCAGGGCAAGTCTGTCCAAGTCTCTTTGGCTTGAGTGTCCACTGAACAGCTACTCAGTTGTAATCTCTTGTGTCTGCATTTGCTTCTGAGTCTATATTTGCTTTCTCAGAGTTTAGCAAGGTCAGCTCCTAAAAATGTACCGAGCAGACTTTTTGAAAACCACACACTTGCTTCCTCTGTATTCAAACACAAAGTGGTGGTATCATCCATTATGCCCTGTGATGGAAGTCCCCTTAGGACTCAAAGCTGCCTTTGTCTCTTAAGAGTGTGCTCTGAGAAAGGCTGTGGGAATGGAAGGCTTATTCTTAGACAGGGTGGATTGTTTACACCACGTCTGGACTTGTCCTGAGTCTGAGAGCCATTCTGCTGCACTGGGTGTCCCAGTTAAAGACGTCTGTGTAGGTGCTGTTTTCTGTCTCAATTTACACAGTCTTCCGTTGCCTTACATCTAAAAACTGAGCACTTTAATGGACTGCTATAGACCAAGAAGGACGTAGTCGAGGGAAGATTAAACTGGGACATGTATCAAGAACTAGGCAGGCCTCCACTTCTGTTCCACTCGAGTTCCTCTTGCCCTAGAGATGGGTTGTGGTTGTCAGGGCACGCTGGCCTGCTATGTTCTCAGTTGTACATAGAAGGTAGCTAGACGGACACGGTGGCACATCTTCACTGCCACTATCGGGCTAAGGCAGGAAGATTGAGAATTCAAGGCCAGCTGGGCTAAATAGTGAGACCTTGTCCAAAAAAAAAAAAAATGTGGTGGAGAGGGATGTGTATAACTGTAGTGGTGCTTAGCATGCTCACAGCCCTGGGCTTAATCCTCAGAAGCACATGGAGAAAAAGAAAAAAAGCCCTGCTGGCTTGACCCTAGGAGGAAATGTGTGTATTCTGCGGACTTGAATTCAAGCAAAAATATGTCTGTTGTTGAGTCAAGGTCTTCCTATGTAGCCCAGACTGGCTTGGAGTTGAATCCTGCTTCAAAATACCAAGTGCTAAGATTTACATGCCCAGAATTTTTGTTTTAATCCTTCTCTCATATACTCCATCCCAGCCGCAGTTCCCCCTTCCCCTAGTCACCCTACCTTCCCTCCCCTCTCCCCTGTTCCCTCCTACAACCCCCCCCCCCCACACACACACAAAACTCACCTCAGAAAAAAAGCCGGCCTCCCAGAGACATCAACCAAACATGGCATAGCAAGCTACAATAAGACCAGGCACATAGCATCACATCAAGGCTGAACAAGGCAATCCAGTAGAAAGAAAAAGGTCCCGCGCGCAGGCAAGTGAGTCAGGAACAGCCCCTGCTCCCGCTATGAGGAGTCTCATAAGAGCACCAAGCTACTCGTCCATGACATACATGTAGGGTACCTAGGTCAAGCCCCCACAGGCCTCCTGATCTCTTCCAGTCCCCATGAGTCCCAGTCAGTTGATTCTGTGGGCCATGTTCTCGTGCTATTCCCCTGACCCCTCAGGCTCCTCCAATCCTTTCTCCCCTCCTCTGAAGGCTGCCTGAGCTCTCCCTAATGTGCAGCTGTGGGACTCTGCGTCTGCTTCAGTCAGCTGCTGGATGAAATCTCTCGTTTCTTTGATTCTGCTAGGCTCTAGTCCCAGAACACTCTGCAAGCAGGGCAAACTATAGGCTGAAGGTTTTGTGGCTGGGTTGGTGTCCCAGTCCCTCCACTTGAGGGCTTGCCTAATTACAGAAGATAGCTGGTTCAGGCTCCGTGTTCCCCATCACCGGGAGTCTTTGCGAGAGTTACTCTTGTAGATTCCATTGGTTTTCATTGCACTGTTTCTGTTTCACCCCTGAAATGCCCCCAATTCCAGACATTTGAGTATTTTCTCTCCCTCCTCTGCACCTGATCCCTCCTGTTTCCAACTCCACATGCCCCTAATCCACCAAGAAATCTATTTCCCCTTTCCAGGGAGATTCTTGTGCCCCACCCCCACCCCATCCCTCCTCATTGCTTAGTGTCTTAGGTCTGTGGACTATAACATGATTGTCTTTTACTTTACAGCTAATATTCAGTTATAAGTAAGTACATACCATGGTTGTCTTTCTGGATCTGGGTTCACTCAGAATGATTTTGTTCTAGTTCCATCCATTTGCCTGCAGATTTTATGATGTCATTGTTTTTTTCTAGCAGCTGAGTAATACCCTATTGTGTAAATGTACCACACTTTCTTTAGCCATTCTTCGGTTGTGAAGCATCTAGGCTGTTTCCAGTTTCTGGCTGTTAGAAATAAAGCTGCTGTGAACATAGTCGAGCAAGTGTCCTTTAGATAGGATGGAGTGTCCTTTGGGTATATGCCCAGAAGTGGGATAGTTGGGTCTTGTGGTAGATTGATTTCCAATTTTTTTTGAGAAGCCATATTGACTTCCTAAGTGCCTTACAGGTTTGCACTCCCACCAGCAGTGGAGGAGTGCTTCCTTGCTCCACACCCTCGCCAGCGTGAGCTGTCACTTGTGGTTTTGATCATAGCCATTCTGAAAGGTGTAAGATGGACTCTCAGAGTCACTCTGACTTGCATTTCCCTGATGGCCAAGGATGCTGAACGTTTGTTTAACGCCCAGAAAATTTGAAACAGCAAAATGAACTGAGTACCTGAAGCGAGGGGAAGAGGGACTGTGATAAGAGATGATAAAGCACGGGAATTCGGGCAAAGTGTTCTCTCTAGGTTGTGAGTAGCACTTTAGGATCTGGTGCATAGAGGACACCTTGTCAGACTGTGGGAGGAAAGGGTAGTATATAAAATTTCTCATCATTTATAGATGGATTAATGTGAATTTTATGCCATATAGTTATTATTTATATAGTGTGCACATATAGTATGTTTATATGTATGAAGACATATACATATATATATATTGATATACACATTCACACTTGTAGAAACTAGAGGACAGCTTTCAAAGAGTTATTTTCTCCTTCCACCATGTGCGTCCTGAGGATTGAACTCGGGCCATCAGGCTTGGCAGCAAGCTCCTTTACCTGTTGAGCCCTCTTGTCAGCTCCCATGTCCTGTTTCTTACCTTCAGCTAATCTACTGCTATAAAATACCCCAGTTTGCAGGTTTGTAGATGCTATGAAGTATAAAACGCATAGCTGCCTTGAGGGATGGCATTTGAAGTATGAGTGAGGAGGGAAGAGGGGCCTGTTGGAACAACTTGGCCTTTCCATCTGTCACTCTGGTTATAGGGTGATGGTATACATCTCAGCCATCCTGTCGTTCTGGTGATGAGGCAGGACATGGAGCCGTTCGGATGCCCAGTCCTCTGGGGGAGCAATTACTACTCACTGGCTTCCTGGGCTGTGTGTAGATGTCCTGCCCCTGTTTTCGACCAGGCTTCACCCAGGCAATGATTTGATAATAAGAGATCCTGATTAAATTAGGGAACTATTTGCTTCTGGATGATGATGTTATAAAAGGGTTGACAGCCACACTGCCTGCTTTTCAGAGGTCAAAAAATAGTCTTCATAATCTAGTATAAGCAGAAGAATAAGCTGTCTCTGTCTGCTTGCTTTTCCTATGTTACATCAGGGAACGGGGAAGTGTTCTGTGCTTTCCCAGCTGGCTTCTTCTGTGCCTCCCTTTTGTAGTTGAACTTGGAAGTAGCTATACTGGGAAGTGGCTATACGGGGAAGGTGCCTGGGTAATGAGTTTACAAACTGCTAAACTTTGTAAATGAGGGTCAAGCACGCTGGGGCTATCGTCTCTGGTTCTCACATACAGATACTCATGTTCACACTTGTCGTTCTTAAAACAGCAGCTTTTTTGTTATTAAGATAGTCTTAGTGACTGAGCAACGGTTCTGCCGGGTCCCAGACTTAACTGGGCTGCTCTCAGTATTAGCGGTATTGGAAGTACAGCTCGTGTAGAGTATTTAGACAAGCAAGACAAGAAGGGGCTTGAAATACCCCCTAGCGTACCACTTGTTCAGCCCATCTGGGTCAGGAGCCTTGGAAACCGCTGATGCCTCATCCTGTAGACAGGCGAGCAGGGTTGCTTATGCCCCGCCTGGTCTGGGATTGCCTGTGCGCAGCTCCCTGGGAGCTCAGAAACCACACAGAGGTTGTAATTGGTCGCTAGACCACACCTAGTTGTTGAGTGCTCCTGCTGCCTGAAGACCTCTCGGCTCTGCCCAGATCACTGGAGTGCGCACAAGTCTACTTTCACCAGACCAGAGAGAAGCTGAGGAAGCTGTGGCGGTGGAAGAGTCGTGGAAACTTTGCCAAGTAAGTAAACTGGGAAGAATGGGAAACTAGAGGCTGCCATTGAGGGGAACTGCTAGGCAAGGCAGCAGTGAAGATGAGCTAGCTTGTGACTCTTAGCATCTGAGGTGAAATTAGCAAGGGTGGGGTGCATAAGGAAAATCGGGAAAGATATGAACTAGATCAAGTTAGTACCCATCACTTGACACCCTTCAGTTTTAATCCTGACTGGCCATTAGGCAAGCATGCTGGGGCACACACAACAAAAATTCCTTAAAATCTACCATCGACAAGGCCAGGAGAATGACGGAGGGAATGAGCAATGTCCTGCTGCTTCCCCTCCACTATGAGGCAGGGCCACAGACAGGGCTGCAGCTTGAGTGAAGGGAAAATAAAACTGTCCTCCACTAGCCCATTAGCGGCACCGGCTGCATTAAAAATGCAGGAGATGGTGGGAAGAGATGGCCGGGTTGGAGCCTAATGCAAAGTCAGGACTGGAAAAGATCGGGCTCCTTCCCTTTTTTGAGCTCAAGTCCCAGTGAGAAGTGGGGGCAACTACTG